TCTTTCTTTCTTTCTTTCTTTCTTTCTTTCTTTCTTTCTTTCTTTCTATTTTTTCTCTTTCTCTCTTTCTCTCTCTCTCTCCCCCTTCCTTTCTTTCTTTTTGCTACTTTGGAAGCATTTATGCAGCAACATAAACAGTATCTTCTAAAATGATTATATTCCATAAAAGCATACTTGAGGAAAAGCAGCCAAACTCAGCCATAATCCCTCATCTATCTATTGGCAGAAACTCTTCAAATTACACTAGAAAAGGACACAAAATTGTCCTAACCATCAGCTGCTTGTTAGAATATGATGATACAGACTCTTTCTCACTTCCTTCCTTTTCCTTCTCCCTTGTCAGAATATTCATGAACTGGCAGCGATATGGTAACAAGGTCAGCCAATGGGAGCTGAATTAGAAACTGAAACTAGAAGTAGCCTGGGCGTGGCTTGTATTAAGCTATCTGCTTTGAGCTCTGAAGCTGCAATCTTGTCTGGCTTGTCTGACTGTTCAGACTGTTCAGGGATGGTTGCGTTGCATTGGAAGAATCTACTATTGGTATTGTACGTTTTACTCATATGTTATTATGTATATAAAGAAGTTAATGAATCCTGCTGAACCAGTCATCTCTGTGTGCTTTCTGGATTTAATTTCTGCAATAAACTCTAACATCGATTCCCTCCCTCCCTCCCTCCCTTCTTTCTTTCTTTCTTTCTTTCTCTCTCCCTCCCTCCCTTTCTTTTTCTCCCTTCCCTTTCTTTCTTCTGCCTCCCTCCCTCCCTCCCTCCCTCCCTCTTTCTTTCTCTCTCTCTCTCTTTCTTTCTTCTTTCCTTCTTTGCGCCCCATGCCCCATTTTGGCCCTTGTAAGCCTCCCTGCAGCTTCCTGGCAAAAAACAGGGCATGGACTCCTGGAAGGGGCAGAGTGGGACCAGCTTGATTCAGAACTACTGGTTTGCCGAACTGGATGTAAAATTAATACCCAATTCGCTCAAACTGGCCCAAACTGGTTGAATCTCACCCCTGTCCCAAAGCCTCTGTGTGTCCCATTTTTGCCCTCCCCGGAGTCCAGAAGCACTCTGCAGGCTAAAAACGTGTCTGGTTTTGGCGTCCCAAAGCCCCCGTGCATCCCATTTTCAGCTTCCCCGGTGTCCAGAAGCACTTGGCAGGTGAAAAGTGCATCCATTTTTAGCCTCCAGAGGCCTCCACATGTTCCATTTTCGGCCTCCCATTGGGGAGGGCAAGAACGGGACCTGCAGAGGCCTCTGGGGGCCAAAACCAGCCATATTTTTGGCCTGCAGAATGCTTCTGGACACCAGGGTGGGCAAAAATGGGTCACACAGAAGCTTTGGGAGGCCAAAATGAGTCTGTGTTAACTGTATAAGACACACAGACATTTCCACCCACTTTTTTGGAAGAAAAAAGTGCATCTTAAAGTCTGAAAAAATCATTAATATATTATAAAGTTAATAGAGCACTCATAGAAGACAGGCAAATATTTTCATGAATAGTTATTGCATGCAGAACAATGACTTCTTATACTAGGGGTCTTCAAACTTGACAGTTTTAAGACTTGTGGACTTCAACTCCCAGAATTCCTCCTCCAGTCATGTTAGCTCAGGAATTTTGGAAGTTAAAGTCCACAAGTCTTAAACTTCCCAAGTTTGAAGACCCTTGTCTTATACTATTCATCCATGTTTCAGAAATCACTAGATATTATCTCTATAATAAAGGTATACGTAACTGTCAAGCCAAAAGAAATGAAAGCTAAGTTTTATTTTTTCCACTAGAGGGTGGCATCTCAAAAGAAGGGTTATGGACACTATAGTAAACCTGTTATATTTTTTAAAATCAAATTCTACCTGTTGATTTTCAAATCCTTATGTGCTTGAGTTTCTCTTTCTATGTAAACACATTTATAGAAAAAAAAAAGTTAATAAATATTTTGGAGTATTTTTTTTCTCTTTTTGACAAGAATATGTTTTCAAACTCAGGTATAATTCTGAAAAATTTCAGAGTGCTGCTTATTTAGGAAAAGTAACATAAAAGAAAAAAAACAGATAATTCAGATAGATGAAATATAGAGGTAGAGATTAGATAGATGGATAGATAGATATAGAGATATACAGACGAGAGAGAGGAAGGGAAGGAAAATATGAAAGGGTCTGTCTTCTTCCTTTCTAGTGTATGTTTGGTTACAAATTTTACTGATGTTTGTTTTGTGTCTCCATATTTATATTCAGGAGTGTGTAAATATGCATTTTCTATCATTCAGTCAACGCATGTTGCAAAACATAAGGGAGAACTAACAGTGGGGTTTCAAACACATTTGGCTAATAGACATACTGTAGATCTCTCTGTATGAGTGTATGGCAAGGGAGGGAGGGAGAGAGAGATATTTTCTAACTAGTGAATTGATATAACCAGAACAGGAATGTGCCTCCTTTTCAGTATTATACCCTACACATTAAATGGAATTCAGTGCTTCAGAGAGATGCATTCGTTCTGTCCAGCGAAAGAACGTCTGGAAGCGGAGAAAGGAGAGCTCCGTGTATTTGTACTCTAAACAGCCATGTCATCTAACAGACAGGTTGTCTCAGCCAACCAGAGCAGCAGCGAGTCCTACATCTTGGCCCTCTAAAGCTATTGGTTCCTCTCTGGGGAGTGGAAGGTTATTAATGACCACTGAGCAGGCAGCCCCATGTCAGTGTGACAACTGATCGGGTGAATGATGCACCACTAACCACCATAGAAACGAAGAGAAAGAAGAAAAGCTAGAAGCATCTCTCTCTCTCTCCTCTCCTCCCCTCTCTCTTTCCCCCTCCTTCCCTGGATTGTGAGCTTCTGAAAACCAGCACAAAGCTCTGAAAAAAAAGTACAGGAAATCAGGCTGCACAGAGACTTCTCTCCTCTTATAGGATACACAGAGACAGCACTAATATTCATGATCTGTGCAGATATCGGCTCAGCTTCCTAGCTTTCACATCAATATGTGGCTATTTGAACTAAGGAATAAAATATGCATGAGTATTCCGGGACTAAATTTACTTTTGTAGGGGTAAGTATCTTATTTATCCTAAGTTCTGTTCTTGTGCTGTTTGCTTGTGAAATGTTTCTTTTCTGTTTCCAGTTTTCGGCTGAGCAATTTCCCATATTCTCCCTCCAGATTTTACTCTTTTGGTGAGACAAAGGACCCCTGTATGCTCCAAATCAACCCCACCGTCAAACCCCCATTAATCTATTTTTTCCTCAAGACTTCTGAAAGCTGAAACACACATCAAATGGCTTGAATAATGGAATTCTCGGTATCCTCAAGGCAAAATGAAACAGCCCACTTTCTCTCTGGGCTTGGAAACCAATTACACGCAGCACAGGGCAGCTTTTTAACCCTCATCCAAGGGCTGAATTACAGCAAATGCCACTGCATGTCATACTTGAATCTAAAAGCCACCCAGAAGGAAGGCTGAATAAGATTATCACACTCCAACTGCATGTCCTGCCAGATTAGACTTTTAAGAATTGTTAGAGATGACTGGCCTCCCCACCCTACCCATCACCTACAACACACACACACACACACACACACACACACACCTGGTAGTCAGAAAGACAGTGCCCCTATTAGAAATGCAGCTGGAATTGACATATGTAAGGATAAAAAAAAAAAAGACAGTCCTCATCTCCTCTGGTAACTGAAAGGATCATAATATAAGCCATTAAAGAAAATTTCTGACAGGAAAACCTGGGGTCGGAAGACTGTATATTCATTCTTCGATGTTGCTATTGTTATTGCTTGTTATGGGAAATCTCAGATATTTGCTTGAAAACGGGAGTGAGGAATGGGTCTTGATTTGCACCTGCTCTGTCTAGTTCTAACCAGTAGCACAATTTGGAATCAGTAAGGCCATGTGCTTAAATTAGAAGGAACCAAATGGATAAAACAGGCAAGCTTGGCAATCTACTTTTAGGCGTGTTTTCATGTGCATAAGTAGCATTGCAGGCACAGGTACAGGAAGAGGACGTAACATAGCCAAAGCAAATCAAACCTGGTTAATATAAAGATATCAACAGTGGATCTGAATCAAAGGTCTCTTGTTCCTATAGGCTTCCAGTGGCAATGTGCGTTCCAAAATAGTTCTTGTGTAGTGGTTTTGTGCGTGCGTGGAGGGGGTGTTGGTAAGCTAAGGAATCACACATCTCACAAGCCTGCTTTTGCTCCATTCCTGCCCACAAACGAAATCCTAGAAGAAGCCTGCGCCTTTCCCAGAAAGCTCTTTCTC